GCTCCGTGTTCCTTGATTGTTTCATAGCTTGCCTTAAGCCTCAGGTTTTCCTTAGATTTTCGACGGGAAATCGGAGTTCAACCTATGGAGAAAAGGGGCCTCGTTCCTTATTCAGGGTTCCTTAAGTCAACGCCCCGACTGTAGCCCCTTCCCGCCCAGGAGCGTGCGTTTTTTTGTGGCTGGGGGCCTACAGTCAACCCGCACGGGAAGGATGAGCAACGTTCTCGGGGTTAACCACTGCGTCCTTGCCCCATTCGGCCCATCCTTAGCGATGGCCGCGCCCCTCCTGCGAAGTGTCGACATGGCCTTCCAAGGCACTCGCACCCTTGCCGCGCATCCTCATGAGACGGGCTGACTGCACCGCCGATCCATCGGCGCGGTGTCGCCGAGATTCCAGGCCGACGCTGCCCAGGCTGGAACTCCGCCCCCCCCCCGCAAAGAGCAGCCCAGAGGGGGCCCCTCCCCGTGCCCCTCCGGGCCGGCTCTCCGAGGGAAGCGCCCGGGCGTGGCCGCGGGGCCCTGCCCCCCCAACCCACAGGAGGCCCAGAGAGAGAAAGTCGGAGGTGGATAGACCTCCTACCCTGACACGTCGATTAAGGAATTGGCCGTTTTCGGTTCGCGAGATGGCGTCGCGGCCGTCATTTCTGCGGGTCCAGGTCTGTCGGTTTCGGTACCAGGCCGTTTTCGTTAAGGGGAGGTTTACTAAAGGGAGGTTTGTCCACCACCGAGAGAGGAGATCTGCGCTCTCGTCGGCGCCGTCGGCGATCGCCGCTGCCGCCCCCCGGGTTCTCCCGGCGCTCTCTGCCCCTGAGGCGCGGCCCCTTCCTGGGAGCCGCTGCTTCGTCCCAGAAATGGGGCTCAAGGCGCGGGGGTCCATGCAAACGCGTGTCAGTCAGGGCGCGAGGTCTTGCAGGATCTCGCAGGGCCAGGGGTGCACTGACCCGGGCTGGCGCGCATTGTGCAGGATTCTGCGCAGCCCAGCTGACCCGGGTATGTATTGATTCGAATCAGTAGTTCCCCGACCAGATTTTCTTCGACGTGGACCCAGAGACGGCCCGCGGAGGCCGACGACGGCGCACAAGTGCTGTAGCCTGGCGAGGGGCCCAACCTTCAGCGTCACGTAACGTTAGTGTTGGACCCTTCTTTTTCATGGCCTTCGGCCCACCCCGCTACCGTGTTTGGGTTGTGGGTACGAAGCCTATTAGATGTTCGTCGGGATCTCGTGGGAGGCCGGCCTCTCAGGGGCCTCTTATTGGAGGCGGTGTTGGAGCCTCTTTGGGGCCGTTTGGGGGCCTCTTGGGGCCTCTTTTGAGCCTCTCTCGGGGGCCTCCCGGGGCCTCCTGGGCGCGCCCCTGGGGGCCTCCTGGGAGCCTCCCGGCGCGGAAGGCTCGGATTTCGGGAGCCTTTGGGGGCCGTCTTGGGGGCCCGTTGGGGGGCCGTCGTGGGCGCCACTTCGGCCGCCCTAGGGGGCGCAGGGGAGCCCCAGGGGGGCACGCGAGAAGCCCCGCTAAATTTGGCAGTTTGGGCTCCAGGCCCCTCACAGACTCCCCTGGAGTGTGGATCGAGGCTCAGAGGATTGGGCGAAGGACCTGAGGACACGCGATATGCACAGTGCGAGGGATGTGCAGCAATGGGTCGGGGGACGCATGCGAACTTCCCCGCACGGGCCGTACAGGTGGAGCTCCCTATGGGCCACGATCTGTGAGAGGGTCGTGCCGAAATTAGCCAGGGAACGCGTGCGAACCCTGCCTCTGGTGCCGAAGGTGAAGCTCCCTGTGGGGCCACGAACCGTGTGAGCGGTGCACCGGCATGGGCGGGACGGCGGCATGCGAACGCAACCATTTGGACCGTGGTTGGAGCTCCTTGTGGATGTGGAGGGGTGTCCCGAACTTGGTGGGGGGCCGCATGCGAACGCACCCGCTGGCGGCGTAGATGGAGCTCCCCGTGGGGTGCCCACGAAGCGTGTAAGCGGCGCGCCGACATTGGCACGCGAAGAGAGGAGGAAGGAGGACGGGGGAGGGAGCGGGCGGGAAGCAGACGAGTCGCGCGGCGCTGCGGATTCAGCACGAAAAGCCGACGCGCAGGGCTTGCACGAATAGTCTGCCTCTTCGAAGCGTCGGGCGTCTGGGTCGCCGTCGGCGGGTGCCGCCGCCGCCGCCGCGAGGACGCGGCAGTGCCGCCACTGCGAAGGCCTCTTCGGCGAGGGGCAAGGACGCTGGCTTCTGGGGTCGCGCCGCCGCTCCGCCGCGTCTCGCGGGTGGGGGCGAGACAGGAGGAGGTCGTCCAGGAAGGGGGAGGAGGAGGAGGAGGAGGAGGAGGAGGAGGAGGAGAAGAAGGTCTTCCAGAAAGGGGGAGGAGGAGGAGTTGGAGTTGGAATTGGAGTTGGAGTTCCAGGAGTCGTCCCACCAACACATTACAGGGACTCCTTGTGGGTTCTCATCGCTTGACGTTCTCATTCGGCTTTACCATACGCGTTAGGCCAAAGCCCCAAACTGATGCGTCATAAAAGCTGATTTCGAGTCGGGGTAGGTGATGACATACACTCAGCCCCTAAATCGAACAACTGCTGATCCCCATACATTCCACAGCTGGCACATATCCAAAGTCCGAAGTCCTTGTGCAGCCTCATACAGTGGTTGGAGTGGGTCCACCCCTCAGCGATGTGAGTGGCGATCCCCCTGGATGTGCACGAAGGGAGCCATCGAGAGCCGTGAGGCGAAAACACTGCATCTTTCGCCACTCCCGAACGCGGACAGCCCACGCCGAACCCCAACTGCGGCGGCAGACACATCTTCCCAGAAGCAGTGAGAATGTGGGCGGCAGAGAAAACAGACACAGCCTCTGCCGCAGGAGGAGGACGAGGAGGAGGAGGAAGGGAGGTCTGACTCACGGGGATCACCCCCCCGGCCCCCGCGGCCTCCATCACCCCTCGACCGTGGGTGCATGACAGGCCGCTTGTTCTCGCCCAGCTCCTTCTCGGCCTCCAGCGAGTCCAGGCGCGACCGCAGGATCCTCATTCCCACCACGTGTATCATGCGTTCCTCATCCAAGATAGCCGTTCTGATAGAACATGGTACCCGAGCCAGTTTTGCACCACATGCACACTCATCAGCACCAGCATTGCTGTACACCGTCTATGAAGTCCCCTTACGATCGACAACCACATTTTTTGATTCCAAATTCGAGTGGGTCCAAGAACTGTGACGTCAGGAGGACGAGGAGGAGGAGGAGGACGGAGGAAAAGCGAAGGAGGACAAGTACCCTTCCTACTTCCTCCTCCTCCTCCCTCTCCCCCTTCCCCGATGCCTTTCTCATACTCCCCCTCCTCCCCCCTCCTTTTCCTCATCCTAAGTCGGTTGCCGCTGTATGTCCGAGAGATCACCAACTCGCTAAACGGGCACACGCGTTGGCCCATTCAATGTCGGCCCGCTTCTCCTACCCGCGGCGGGAAGGGAAGAGAAACACTGGATGCCGACCTCAGCGACCGAACTCAATTGGACAAACAGTGGATGCTCAAATATTGCAAGGGAGCGGCCGAGCTGCGAGCTTGGCCAAGATGGGGCATCCCAGTAGAGCTTGTCTGGATGGCCAGCGGCCCGCAACCTCCCCGGCAGCGCCCGGAAAAGCTGAGCCCACAGATCGAGAAGACGAGGATCAGACAGGCAGGCACGAGAAAAAACAAGGGGGACGCGTCGCTCCATTTGCCCCCATTCAAACGCATTCCGGGGAGGGAAATGCCGACGGAGACGATGCGCAACAGCGGGGAAACATTCGGAAGTCGCGGGAGATCTCTGGCCGGGTCTGACTTGGAAGCGCGCGCAGCTACCCGGCACCCAGGGGTTGCAGGAAAAGTTGGACTGGGCGCGGGGCGGATCGGAGGAGTGGGAGGGGACAGCGCGAATTTCAGAAACGATTGGATGACCGATGACACATGCGCCGACGAGTGGAGGCCACCCCGCCGGCTTGGCACAGGTCGGCCCAGTCTCATTCGACGCCGGCGGGAACAATGGGAAGGACTGGCGCAGAGGGGAGGCGGCCCGGCACTGGGGCACGAGCCAGGGAGGCCCGCAGCCGAAACAGTAGCTGCGGCTGCCCCTCTGCTAGATTTTGCGCGCCTGGTTCTCAGTAGCTACAGCTGGCGCGCAGTCACTACTGCTGCCCCGGCAACTGCACCTGCATCCTCAGCGCGAAAGCGCGGCGACCTGCTGCTCCAGAGAACCAGCCCTGCGGCCTGCGCGCCGTCAGCAACGCCGCCATGAACATGATATCCACCGACGTGCGGTGCATGCAGCTATGGAACAACGGACCGAAGTTTTGGTTTTACGCTGCGCCTGCGACAGTTCGACGGTGCGCATCGCATCCACATGGCAACACGACTACAATTTATTAGAAGCACGGACCCCACGAAATTTCGAGCGACATTATTAACCCCCGCGCAATCAACACGCCCATGGGCTACATAGCGAGGGCGCGCACAGCCGGCAGCGCAGACGACGCAACGCAACAGCTCAACAGCACCACGGACAACCTGGAGAGGATTGTGCAAGGAGGGGGAATGGAACCAAAACCAGTGCGAGAAGAACCACCTGCATGCCCCTATGGGCCTAGATGCACGCCGGCCACTCGGCGCCAACGAATGTCCAGGGGGCCGCGGGGTGCTCCGCCCGGGGCGACGTGGGCGCCGGGGCCCCACTTCCCGTCGGATCAGAGCATGGCTGGAGAGATTGCACGAGGAAGAGCTGCAACGAAGGTAGCTCAGAGATAAGACTGAATTGTGTCTGAGGTCCCGAGACGTCGGACTGGCTCGAGCAGACCGCGCCCATTGCACTTGCATTGGGATCAGCTTGTGGCGAACTCACGCATTTTGGCCTTGGCGCCAAAGGCTGCAGACGCCCTGGGCGCGACGACTGAGGCGCATTTGCGACGTCTTGTAGTTGGGCGAGATGAGTTGGGAGAGCGAGGAGGGGAATGCCAGATGCTGCGCAACGGCGCAGGCATTCAAACAGTGGATACTCGAAGGAACCACCACGGCGACAGCGTCAAGGACGAGCAGATTGAAATGGCGGAAAAAGTACGCCTTTCATTTTCAAAGACCGCGTGGAGGCGCCAGCAGCAGTTTCCGGGTGCTCCCAGCGGGGCAAGTGAAGGGCGACGAACGGGTTGCCGGTGCCCACGTGGACTTGCGCGCGAGCGACCCCGCGGGCCCACCAGGTTGGTGCCGACTTCGAAACGCAAAATTAGGCATCGGAGGAAGCACGCCGCGGGCGGGGACTCGGAGCTTGGACGCGTCGGCACTCGCGCCAGCGTGCGAAGAACACGAGAAACTGACAGCCATGCATGCATCAGTTCTGAGAGGCGCCAGTCCGCGGCGGAGCGACGAGGATTGGAAGGGGGGGCCATGAGAACGCGACGACGACGCACTGAAACCACCGCGACGCGACTTCGCCGCGCAGGGAGAGGGCGGACGAGCGCGCGCGGACGGGGGTTTGCGGACGCAGCGGCCCCTGCAGGACACGGGGGCGAGGCGGATCGCATCGCGCCGCCTATTGCAGCGTTGGCGATCACAGATAAGCGCCCGCGGCGTTTCAGAACGTCCGCGGACAGATGGGCGATGATCGACCGCGCCGCCAGATCGGCGGAAGGCCGCGCGAATTGTTACAGGGGGGGGCACGCCGCCTAACCGGGAGCGGGGCCAGATGGAGGGGGCAGAAAAAGAACCGCCTTGGGAGCGGCGGCGGCAATGGAGAGCGAAGCCGGAGGTGACCGAACATTTCTCGCAGCGCCCGCGGGGAGCTGAGGCCCCCCGAGCAGGGGGGGGCGGGGCAGGCGCGGAGATGAGCGCCGCGATAACGGCCAGTGCCCCGGCTGCCTGCAGCGCCCCCCCCCCCCCATCGGCGCGCGCGGGGGCGCGGCGGCGGCGAACGCAGTATCTTAGCGCATACCGGGCGCGATGTCATACTTCAGGTGCGCCCCCCTGGCCCACGGGGGCAGCGCTTCGCAGGCGTGGGCGGGGGGAGGGGGGGGGCGCGCGCTCGGACCGCCGCGCGCCCGCGCAGGGGCGGCCGCGTCGGCGGCGCGCATCGAGGGCCCCAGCGGCGCGGTCGAGTCGGAGGGCGCGCTGGGCGCGAACGCGAGCTGGAGCAAGGACGCAGTGGAAACGCGGCACACGTCGGCGACGCCGCGCACGGCAGCGGAGGCGCTCGAGCCTCGCGGGCAGGAGGACGGTTGCGATGGCAAGGGGGGGCCATCCACAATGTCAGCCCCCTGCCCTGCGCGACGGCGGCCATGGACAGGGCGCGCAGCTCTGCGCGAGGACGACGCTCTGCCTGGAGTCTCTGGAGAAGCCAGACGACGACCAGCCTCGACGACATTCAGGCAGGGCGTTGAGCGCCGCGATCCAGCGGCAGAACGGCGAGGCGGGGTGCGGCCCAGGAGTCAAGACAGAGCTGGAGCGGACGGTGGGGCGCCAGCTCCAGGGCACGACAAAAGTTAGCAAAACAAACGGCAGCGCCAGCCCGCCCATAGTTGATCTCGCAGTTGCCCCCGAGTCAAGCGCGCCAGCGGGAACGCGGGCAACCTGGGCAGAACACGCAGCAAACGAGAGTGCGAAAAGTGAGAAGTTAAGAATTTGACCGAAGGGCACTGCGATATTTCTGGAGAGGAGGAAGAACACACATGGTGGCCACATGGTAGTAGAGGGAGCACAATCGATCACGGGCAAAAGAAGACGACAAGTACACCGCCCACTCCCACACTTACAACGCCACCAACCGATTAACCGACCGACCCATCACACCGGACCGCCCCAGTTTCCCACCACTTCCTGCGCAACGGCGAGCTACCTGCGCGTCGCCACTTCGAAAGGAATTCCAAAAGGCTTCAGCAGCTGCGTCGAGAGCGCCCCCAGAGGCAAAGGATGGCCCACCCAATTTGCCACCTGCGAGCCCCCGAACCCAGCTACTGCTGCCAACCAGAGGACCGTGCGCCACCCACTATTAGGGCGCATCAAAATCGATGCGCGGCAATTTCTCCAGCGCCATCTGGCCCAACCACATCCGGGAGAGGTCGGCCTATGCACCGGCGAGCGACGGGCGAGAGCTATCGCCAGATTGACTGTAGAAAGCTACAGGACTCGCAGCGGGCGGCGCCAACTACGCGTCGTTCAGAGCGCGCCAGACCACCGAGAGTCTCGACGACAGCGATCGAGCAGAGCATCGACCTCAGCAT